TGATCCATTAGCATCGAATGCAATGAATGCTCCTTGTTGTGATTGTGTTTGTTTTCGTGCAGCCCACATAGAGTCATGTGAAAAAGAAAGTAAAACTAAGTACACCCCACAAACATTAGTAGATTGTGGAACCAGCTTTGGCAGCAATAACTGGAAGTAAAAATTTCTCTTCTCACCTCACTGTGGAGAATTTCTGGCTCACTCTTCTTTACAGTGTTGCTTCAGTTCTTTCAGGTTTGCGGTCATTTGTTTATGCACAGCACTATTAATATCTCACCACAGAATTTTAGTCAGGTTGAGGCCTGGACTTTAACTGGGACATTACAACATCTTGATTCTCACCTTTTTTTCTTTAGTCACTCTATTGTAGATTTGCCGCTGTGCTTGGGATCATAGTACTGTTTCAGAACCCACTTTCTGACAGACACCCTCACTTTTGACCTTAGAATACTTGGTATACGGAGAACTTTGTGGTCAACTTCATGACTACAATGTGCCTAGGCACCGTGGCTGCAAAACTAGTCCAAATCATCACCCCTCCACCACCGTGCTTGACAGTTCGTATGAGGTGTTTGTGCTGGTATGCTGTGTTTGGTTTTTGCCACATGTGGTACTGCATTATGGCCAAACATGTCCACTTTGGTCTCCTCTGTCCTAAGGACTTTATTCCAAAAGTCTTGTGGTTTAATCAGATGCAACTTTGCAAAACTAAGGTATGTTGCTATTTTCATTTTACAGAGAAGAGGCTTTTTCTGTCGAGAGTTTTAACATTTAACATTCTAACTGAGGCCTGTAGAGTCTGAGATGTAGCTCTGGGTTTTGGGCAATTTCTCTGAGCATTGCACAGTCTGATCTTGGTGTGAATTTGCTGGGACGTCCACTCCTGACATGCTATAAACACCTGAATGCAAATAGCAAACTGTCAAAGCAACTGCTTTTACAGAAGTGCTCACAGTTGCTGATGCTCAGTTAGTCAAATTCACTGATTATCAGAACCTGGCTGCTACTTTTCCTCCTGATTCCTATGAAAGCAGTATTGGGTTGTTTTAAGCAGCAGGTGAAAGTTTCTACTCAGTTTCACTTACAAAGGATGTTGTTTGCAGTTCCAGGTTTCATATCTCAGTGTTTAGCAACATTTTAATCTTTAATGTTTGTATATGAAGAAATAATTTTTGGGGCCATCAGGGATGTTTTTTCTTAACTGCAGAACTGTGAATGCCCGCTGACCACAGCATTTCCATCCAATAGTTCAATAAACATTTCACTCAAAACCACAAATGTAAACCTCCTGTTATCACTCACAGAGTCAAATCTCTCATAGCAACCCATCCAGTAGATTCTGTCGTGGACAAAACCAACCAATGTTTGTTCTGGATGAAAATTTCCATTTCTTTTTGTTTTAATCTCTACAATAAATGTAAAAAGGTTTTACTACACAGACATTTTTGTGGCCTTACTATGTGATCCACTAATGGAGAATATTACAATCTTGGTTAAAAACTGAAGCCAGTGGGGAAGAGATTTAAATTTATAATGTCTAAAAAAATGTCTTAAATTAACGTGGCTCTAGCTTTTCATTCAGGACAGTTCTAGTCACAGAAGCTGGAAAAAGGAGATTCACTACTCAAACTGGGAAACAAATCGAACAAATCTTGTTATAACACTCAAGCAAGTGTATGGGTCACAGCAAAACCTGCCAAGAACTTTGGTTTGGGTTTTGCCATCACTCCAGTCCCGCTATTGGCTCTTATCGGCTGTAAGTTGAGGGACGATGACCTTTACCACTGTGCCATTTGGCTCATCCTGAAACCTTCAGTCTTGTTTGTCACTGGTTTCCAGAATGGTCATATGCATATATCAGGTGTGAGACAGGCAAATCAACACATTGCAGATCTGTAGGCTTGGTGACCTTTTGACCCCCGCGCTAGATAACATAGTGCGATAAACCTCTTCACAGGAGACAGTCACTAGACTCAACTCTGCAGGCCATCACCAAAGCAACCCAACGAAATATTCTTTCATTTGCAGGGCAATGTTTTTAAAAACTTCAAAAAACGGAGGGGGGGAAACGCTTTTTTGTAATCAACATGTTTTTGGGTGACATCTCGGAACTTCAGCGGCAGTTAAACTCAAGAGCGTCACTTCCTGTTCCATTATCTAATGTCACAGTTCATTGAGAAAAACAGTGGCACTGCCAGTAAAACGCTAAAAGTACGTTGCAAGCTGTTCACTGCTACTCACAGACCCACCAGTATCCCAGGGGAAACCAGTCCTCCCCGAGTTAACGGAGGGGCCCTCTGTTGTCCCAAAGGCATCATGATCACTGAGCTGCCACACAATATTTAGAGGGGAAACCAAAAGAATCTCCATGACATACAGTAGACAGAAAGCTGCTGAGGCAGTGCCTTTCCCCTTGCCCTGCGCTCCACTTATCTATACTTTTTTAGGTGTACTGCTACAATCAAGCGCAATGCCCTCCACCCACTATTAGATCCCTGGCTTATCTTTGTGCAGCACTACAGCAAGAGACGAAACTGCTTTGTTAATAAAAATGTCAAAAAGCACAATCATAACAAGTAGACCAGCAATTACGTTTTTAAGTGGCACAAATGTTGAAATGATATAAAAGTGATTTTGCATAGACTTGGATTCACACAAATGCTGTGTATATGATCTCTTATTGATTCATCCTCTTTTTTTTCCCCTGCCCTGACCCTCATGTTTTGCAGGGTGGGGATGTTAACACATGGCACTGTTTTCCATCCACCGGGCAGGAAATGCATCATAGTTCATTGTGGGGGAACCGCCGTGTTTTTTTAACAGGAAAGTGTAAAAATAACTATAAGCTGGCGGTTCCAAGGCCTGGTGGGCATGCCAGCATTCAGGAATGGCGAGGCTGAAGCAAAGATGTGTTGATTATACGTAAAATATGTGAATGATCATGAGCTTTTGCTCTTGATAGAGAACTGAGAAGCGTTCGCTGCCTCGCTGAAGGGTAACAGAACCTTTCTCTTTGTTCTTTCTCTTTATCTCTATGACTAAGGAAGGGAAAGACATTCTTCATAAAGCCAAAGTGCACCAATACAATTATTTATTTCCCGAATTTGTGTCTTAAAGACCCCCCCCAAACAAAAAAAGCAAAGGGCTTTAGTAAAAGAAATCTCAAGGTCCTATTGAACAAGCACAAACCCCTTGAGCAGAAACCCATAGAGAGAGAGCAGAAGAAAGAGATAGGATGAAGAGCAGCGATCCCTTTCTCCAGGCCGTAGCATCCGCTAAGGAAACTCTAGAAGACAGGGACACAAAGATATGAGCACACAACTCAGGAATGGAGGATGTTTGACGTAGTTCCCAGCATCCCCTTCTGCCAGTCCCTTCCCCTCGAAAACACTCCCCAGCACTGATTGAGCTGTTTATGTAGCTTCCAGTTATTTCAAACAAAAACAGTGCCTGTACATTCAAGAGTGTGCAGATTTTTAAAAGAAGTAGGTTTAACAAAGTCTGTATATATAATAATCTGTGACAAAGCTTTTCAAGTAGGGTGGTGGTGGGGGGTTAAAACAATGGGAGCTATATATGACTGAGGTTTCCCAAAGGCATTTCCTGACAACTTTCAAATCACCTCTCAAGAGAATGCAGGGGGTTACAGAAAAGGCTGCGACACTGAAAACTCAAGCAGAGTACGTTTTGTTGGGCGTGTGCGGGCTTTAATTGGCGTCTTCTGTTGGTCCACCTTTGGCTTTGTCTGCGGGCTTCTGTCCATCACGAGTGGAGTGACATCCTCACTGGCCGGATCATCATGTTTGTGCAGGCATTAGGCAAATGTTTTCACAGCTCGTCCCCTGTAATTAATATTTCCAGGTCTGCACATTCAAATTGCAGTTTTCAGGGAGGTAGCAGGGTTTCCATGACTGTGGAAATGCTGCGCAAGTCAATGTGTTTTGTGATAATACAGGTTGGCTCCCACATAGGTGTGTTTGCGGGTGGGGGTGGGGGTGGGGGAATCCACAGAGCATACCTACACATCTTTATCCTCAGTCAAAACCCAATTTCACATCACTCAGTCAGGTGTTTTTCTCAAACAAACCTGAAGTTTGTTTCTGCTTTATATAGAGAAAAGCAGTCTTGGTGGCATCTATGGGATGTTTACAGTCAGACCAGCTGGTTTGTCCTCTGCTGCTTTAGAGCTGCATGTGTCCTCAGTGACAAAGCAGAGAGGCATGCGCTACCACTGACAGAGGAAACCACTCCAAAACTTCAAAGGTTACTCAGAAGCCAGAAGTCAGCAGCCCCTCTAAAAGCTAACCATCGGACAGGTTTGAAATCCCACCATGGTGTTAAAAGAGAAAAGGAATGGGTTACTCCTGTTATTACTTAACTGCTAATAAATCCTGAATTAAAAGTTATAATCATATTTAAAAAATGTGATGGGTTGCTTTGCATAGCACAAATGTGAGTGCTGAGTGAATATACTAAACCAAATACGTTGCACTATGTGCACACAGTGAAAGTGAATACTGTCACTTTCCTGAAGCAAACCAAGTTTTCTAGATAAAATAAAATCACAGGTTTAAGAATTTAAGGTGTAAATATCCTGCCACGACGTCTCTAAATGCGAGTGAAACAGGGCTGGTTTTTTTTTTTTTTTTAACTACAAAGGCAATTAATTGCACATCAAACCTTTGCATTTCCTGCTCAGGAGATTGTGCAAAACGCCTTACAGTGGCAATCGGTGCAATAAGACGCTAATGAGGATGTGGCCTTGATATGTTTTGTGCAAGTTTCCACTGTCTGCATATAAAGTCTAGCACGTTCAAATGTCACTCCCTAACTTTTCTTGGTCTCATGATTTTGTCCAGCTTTGCTGCTGGCGGCTCTTTTTTCATTGGTGCTGCTTGCTGTGCTGTGGTGGTAAAGATGGTTACAGCGCATATATGCATCTCAGCTCACGCGCACACATCCTACTGACAGCGAATGTTCACGTGCACGCACACACTCACCTTCCAGCCCGCGGAGCTGGTGCTGTCTCCTTTGTCTTTGAAGTAAGGCACGCTCTTAACCATCCAGTCGTAAATCTGAGAAAGGGTCAGCCGCTTCTCAGGTGAGCTGTCTATGGCTTTGGTGATCAGGTCTGCGTACGACATGTTCCCCCAGGCGTTTCGCCGGGACGAGCTGCTCTTCCTTTGCCCGGGTCCACCCAAAGGTGGGACCCCAGGATTTGGCACCTGTTGCTGGGACGACAGCTGTGGACCCGGGACCTGGTGCTGCTGTTGGAGCTGATGATGATGGTGTTGATGATGATGTTGGTGGGGGTAATGATGCACACAGTTGCTGTCCCGGCACTGAAAAGCATTGCAAAGCGGCTTCTGCTCTGAGTATTCTTTATAGTCCTCCTCCACCAGGTCGAGGTTTCTGATGAACTCGGCGTTTGCTGCTGGCTCCTGCTGCACAGACGGTGCTGGGGAGGATGTGTTGGAGCTGGCCGGGTCGATGAGCTCCGGGCGGGGCAGCGGCCAGGTGCAGGACCGCGGGCGAGAGAGAGGCTCGAAGTCCGGGTCTATATCGCCCGGCTGCGGCTGTTGTGGCAGTAACTCAGCCATGTCAGGGTAACACCGATCCTCTGTCACATAGATGTTCACTTAAAAAGAATTCGCCAAATTGTTAGTAAAAAATATAAAACGGTGACATAAACATCGAGAGGCTAATAATGAGTCATCAAGACCGAAAACAAACCCTAAAAGAGAAAGAGTCGTTTGTAATGTAAAATAAAGAGATATCTAAAACTGAAGTTCACACCATACTGTGTCAGTTAGCAGCAACTCTCTAGTCTGCCGCTCTAACAAGTGGTAGACAGTACCACACTCCGGTGCTGCCTTCACGGCTAACTCACAGGCTCCATCCTCCGAGCTTTGCAACTTGAAGGTGCGTTCAAGTGCTGTCCTGTTGACAAATCACGCCAAATGGACCCTCAAATTTGCAAATCCACATCAAGGGTGATTTAACTGCCTATTTGATGCTACAGTTAATAGTTTGGGCACACTTTCTCATAGCATCGTATCTATGTATTTATTGGTACACTTGAGTTTAAAATCTTATTCCACGATTTTCTGTGCTTGGTGCTATGAGTGACAGTCATCTCGACAAAAATAAAAAGCTGTCGTTACTCAATACCAGTTTTAAAAATATGTAGTGAAAGGGTTGGTTAGTCAGCTATCTCTTTCAGTTCGCTTGTCATTCAAACACATTTTGGCGGGACTTGAATGCACCATACAAGCTGAGAGGGCATGTTTTTAGTTTCAAAACGTTCTGAGGGGGGGCTCAGCTGATTCAAAACACTGCCCTAAGCTTAAAAAAAGAAATATATTAGGGCCATTTGTACATTTTTTTTTTTACTTCTATACAAATATAGCAAAAAATGTTAATGTACTCCTAAACTTTTTTTAGTTGAAGTATCTGGATGCCATCTTTAAAACTGTGGGGTTAATGCGCAACCACAACGTTCAGTAGCGCCATCTAGTGGGCAAGCCTTAACAACTCTACATGAGTTGTTAAGGCCCCCCCCCCTCAGCACTGTATGGCCCAGACAAACAGAAACCAGGAAGTGTTGCCAACATCTTATCATGCCAATCACTCTGTTTAAGGAAAAGTGAACAAAATGTGGAAGTGGGGCACTTTGAAACATCAACCTGTCAGTTTCCACTTTCTCAGACAATAGATCGAGCAGGGTGTTTTTAGACCAGAAAGGATCCGTGTGGCACGTTGTTAAACAGGTTGTTTAACTTTAAAAGCACTTCCCCTGAGAAGGGGTACAGGGTTCATGGTCTGATTGTGTTTTCTACTGTAAACTTGATCTCAGATCCTCAATACTGTTCACAGGTTATAGTTCTTGCAACCGGTCTGGGAAAACACAATCACTCATGACTGCAAGGTGTTTGTATGACCTGTGACACTTAAAGAATACAAAAATATTTTCATCTGCACATTTTCTTTGTCACACAAAGGTCATTAACAATCCATTCAGCTAAAGTGTTACTTGTTTTTAAAGTAAGTTACTCTAATTACCTTTTATAACAATATTTCAGTGTAACAAGAATAAATCAACACAACCATTTTATTTACATCACTTAATACCACTTGTGAATCACAAAAATATTGCATTGACTGTGTGTGCAGCAACATTTCACTTCCTTTCAGGGCATTTTTCTCAATAGCATGACATCCAATATCTCCACTAAGTTCTCTCCTGCAAGAGTCGAGAAACCAGGAAGGTTTTGACTGCCGCATAAACTGTATGAGTAATGATCACGGTGGCAAAGTCTCGCTTTAAAGTGTTGGTTTTATGTGACCACAAAGAGCAAATGCAGACATATTAAACCGTGTTAAGTTTATTCAAGGTAAACATCAGCCTCCTTAAGCACTTCCTCTTTTTGATGGAAGTAGTCCCTGAACCAGGATATATGCTCCTTCTTCTGCTGCACAGTCAGGTAGGGGTTTCTGGACAGGCCGGTCACTACTAGCTCCATGAAGTGACGCACTGGCCCCTCACGAGGGAAGCCCTCCTCCAAGTGCTTCTCTAAGAAGATGTGCTCATGGAATGGGACCTTGGCTTCCTCTTCGAGGCCTAACACAGCAAGAATGAACAGTCAGTTTCTCTCTCAGAAAAATGTATTTTCCCCTCTTTTAAAAATAATGAAGTCAACCTTCGTTACTTACCAGCTTCATTGTTTACTGGGTACTGCCATAGTTTCCCTTCTTTGGTCCACTGGATCATTTCCTCAAACCCATTTCGAGGCATCTGATTGGTCGATAGAGACAACTGATTTGCAAAGTCCATGTCCCACAGAGTCGGCTTAGCTGAAAATATGATACAATGACGTTAAAAGCAAAAGATTTTGCAATGTGACATGAAATATGTTTACGGAGTGACAGGCATTAAAAGCATCACAGTCTTGACAAGCATTATTAAAGCACCATGCTTAACATGTTTGATACTGTGTCATGTTTCATCAGTTTAAGCTTGAAAAATCAATTGTCACTCATGACTTGCTTACTAGAAGTCTTCATGAGGAAGACCACTGTTAAGTCAGTGATCTTCTGGTGTGGTGCATACATTTTGAAGACAAACTTTAAAAATGTTTATTTTTAGGCGTTAACAATGAGACAAGTAACACCAAAAAGTGGCCTCTGTGAGCAAACATATGAAATGAACAGTAAGCTTCAAATTGAAAAAAGAAAGAAAGAAAAGAAAATCTAAATCCATCAATACCTGCTGCTGCTGGTTCAATTCCATCTTCATCAGCAGCGGAGGTGAAGATGTTAAGTCTTTTCCCTAGCAACAAGTTCCTCCTTAAAAAAAGAAAGACATCAGACACAAGATCCATTAAAAACAACAACAACAACAAAAACACAACAAAATTAGTGTGAAGAGCTGATAAAAATATTACCGTTTCCGAACACCGGACAGCTCGGAAGTGATTCCTCTGTAATGTGTATATCCTCGCCCGTCGTCATCAAACCGGATCTGATCGGCTGGCCAGGCGTTCTGCCGGTTAGGATTCTTGCCTACTTTCATTTCAGCGATAATCACTCTGAGAAAATATTGTTTGATTATTTTTTGTTAAATAAGCTTTTCAGAAAAAAAAAGGAGGGGGGGGGGAGTAACAATCTCATTAACTACAGTTATTGGGGACATACCCGAGGTTGTTAATGTCGCCTTTCTTCTGAGCCTCAGTGATTGCCTCGTGCTGCCTCAGCTGCCTGAGCAGCTCAGATTCAGCCTGGCTGCGGTTAGGCAGAGTGGAGGCAGCAGAAGATGCTGCAGCAACCAGATCAGGATCCAAAGTCTCACTAAAAACACAACCCAGGGGGGCACAAAATGAGTGAATGAAATGTGACAAAAGTATAGCTCCTAAGGTTTGGTTTTTAATTATATAGACATAAGTATTGGGCTACTCTGAATTCAGGTGTTTTCATCTCCAATCAACCACTGATCCATGCAGTATACCTTTACAAACATTTGTGAATGAATGAGTCATTCTAAGGAGTTCATTGAAATCAAGTAGCTGTAATAATATGCAACAAGTCACATTAGTGGAGTTTCTTCCCTTCTAGAGATTCCACACTCAGCTGTATGTGGTATTGTTGCAAGGGAGAAACATTTTGGAACTACAGCAACTTAGCCATGAGCTGAGTCACCAAGTACTGAGGCGCACAGTGCATAGCACAGACTAAACCATTACAATCAGCACAAAAACTGTGTGCTGGGTGCTGGATGGCATAGGTTTCCATAGTTGAGCAGCTTGTGTAGGTTTAACATCTAGGTAGCCCAGTACTTTCCATGTGATGTAAGTAACTATAGATGAAATAAACTTGAAAGAGAATCATGTGGAGTGACTGCTGTTGTCATCTTACAACTTTATTGGCCAATGGTGTGAATAACACAAAAAACTTCAATAAGGCAATACAACCCTTCTCCAACTTCTCTCACCTCTGTGATGAATCATCCCCTGTAGCCTTCTGATACATACTGATGGTGCTCTCCATAGGTGCCGCCTTCGACTTATATTGTGTAACTGACTCATAACTTTGCTTTGCCTTCAGGTTTTTGAGCTTCCTTTTGTTGGTGACTTCTACTTTCATGGCTCCAAGAAGATTCAGGAGACTCTCCTTCCCACTCTTAGCTGCATCATTCTTCGTTTTCGCTGGCTGCTTTGATGCAACCTGTTCAGTTTTAACATCTGTCTGCTGCTCTGTGGCGTCTCCATCATCTGCCTTTAACACCGCTGGCTCCTCCTTCAATTTGACCACCTCCGCTTGGTCACCCTCTTTAACTGCCTGTGTTTTCTGGTCTTGGTTATTCTTCTTTTCACAGAGCGAGCTTGAACTTGTGCTGAAGGTTTTTACCCCACATTTATTTGTAACCCTGTGTCGAGAGATAAACAGATTTGTGCATCAGAAGGAGCCAAATCTGAAAAGGTCACGATTCAGACTTTTGATAATTATTACATTAACACAATATCATCAATATTGAACGTAATAAATGCTAAGGAGGGGGCAACAGTGTCTGGAAAAAATAACATTATTATACATTATAGATTTGTATGCAATTCCATGCAGTTTTAATCTACACCATTTACAAGCATACCGCTTAAAGACAACATGACAACTTGTGATGCTTTGCATATATCTTATATAATATACATATTAGTCTGTGCATCTATACGTGAATCAAACTTTTTTTTTCAGGTCCGTGCGATTAACTTCACATACACATTACCATGGAAACAACCGCCTTAAGAGCTGTCAGTCAAGACGTCCATCCCCCTCTTTAGGCTAGAATAAGCTAGTTGCTAGCCACATGCTACTTGTTTAACGAAACAAGCAAAACTCAGCATATTTCGTTTGTACTGTGGCAACCTGTTCTTTGACATTAAGAAGCTCGGCAGCTGAGTCTCACGGTCATTAGTTACTCTGTTTCACAGTGTGGCCCGTTCAATCACAGCTAACAGTCACATGGTTACCTCACCTGAAAACCGTCTTGTCACATTTAGCTGCTAAAACACACGAGTCGTAGACATTGACTGAAGAACTTCGAGGCGCCAACAAAGTCCGAAATATAATTCTGTACATTGTGGCTTGTTGTGATGTCCTTCCACGCTCCTGTCGTTTACCTCCGTTGTTACCACATAAGGTCACCCCTGTAAACTTTAAGAGAATGACAGTTCCGTTCCAGGATGTGCAAAGACTCGATGTTTGCTCTTCAACGTAAGAGTGCCGAGTTTTAATTTAGTCTGGATTTATTTGTAACATTGGCAATCTCAATATTAAAGTAAATTTAATTAATTTCTTTAACATTTTAGTTGATTTGATTTTTAAATAAACTTTAGGCGGTTACTGTCAGTAGTATAGTCTCGCGAGACCGCAACCGGAACGTGAGTCAAAATGGCGACGAAACACAACCGCTCATTCACGAACTGAGGTCTCAGCTGCAGTCCGCGAATTAGTTTCTTATTTGCATCAAGAGATGGATATTCAGAGAGAAGAAATAGCTTCGCAAAATCAGCATTTTTGTAAACATTGATTGTTTTTATTCGCATAAGTTCCTGCTTATATTCAGAGAGGAGAAAGCAACTTCACACAGGTAAAACGTCAACGGAAGCTAAGTTATTAGCATACAAGCTAACATGCTTAAAAATTAGCTTACCGCAAGTTAGTGTGAAATAAGTATATATTTATTCAGAAGCGTAAAGTTACCATAATTTCTTTATTTTTCACTGATCTTAGGTTCCAGTGAATATATATAAAGTGTGGCTTGTGTGTTACATGTTGTAGTTCGCTGTTGTTCCGTCAGTGTGAACAAACCCGCTCCTTGGAGCTCAGTGTGTTTGTTTACCTACAAAGTATTTGGAAAAGAGGAACTTGGACAATCTTTAAAATCACTTAACATTATATTAAATGTGTAGTCTTCGCCTCCACATTAAGTTTCACAGTCTTTTTTTTAAGATTTTAGATTTTATTTGATGGGTGTAATTACAACGCGCTAGCTTTGCAATACCTCCAGTCCTGTGAAATACCGTGGACTTGTTTTCATGATAACGTTGTATATCATCTTAAGAACAAGCTCCAAAGATGTAATTGGTGTAGTTTTAAAACACGACTTCTCTCCCGTTGAGGTTTTGTTCGGTCTGTTATCGTTGCATTTACATTAACAAATACATGCGAAACTTAGAGAATGTGTCTGACAGCAAATATGCTGTTGCTACCACAGGATCTATTATGAATAAGTTTTGTTGTGCTTTAACATTTGTTGCTGACCAGAAAGTTACTGTTGTCTCAGCAAACCTCCAAATAGTTTTTCATGTATTTGAGATTCTCTTATAACCCCTGCCAATCACCAGACGAGGTTTTAGATCAGTGTTTGGGTCATTGTTGCACATCTCTACTATATAATAAGCCGTTATTGTATGCAGTGTCTTGAAGGGGTTCCTTTTGTGTGATTATCCACCTTAATGGTTTTGTCGTATGGACTGCCGATCATTAATGAAAAGGGTTTTGAATGAGGGTCTCCTTGGAGATGTATAGCTGTGAGGGTTTTTTTATGGTGAAACGCAATGGGACAATCTGTGTAGTTATTGCATTGAGTCTCGGAAACTAAAAGCACTACAAAAATGATCTACAAAAGGAAATATCTATAGTAAGTGAATTTAGCCTAAATGTCCTGGTTTGGTGGGTATGTAAACAAAGAGGAAAGAACATTGTACTTAGATCTGTGCAGGTATTCTGAGGAATATTCACTAAGCACCTCTAACATTCCCAATATACTTCAGGCCCAACAATAGCCACAGTAATCACACATAAAACCAATGTAAGGGAGCTGGGTTATCAGAACAAGACTCAGCTGTACACCTGCACTTAAAGGAAAAAGTACACTCTTTTGAAGATACTAATGTTCACATTTTGGATAGAGAAGCCACAAAGTTTGAAATATGAGTAAAGGATGCTTCCTATGTGCACCTATAGCAACTGAGGTGGTGGACTATATAACAGTCAGCTATAATGCATTCTTGAGATCAATTCGCACTCACACCTTGACCCATGTCATCTTAATGGCTCACATGATGGGCAGGCTTAGCTGACATGTTACAGAGAATTCACAGCATGGCATGTGACCTTAGTGTGTCACACCCTGAAACTTGTGACCCTGATGACACGAAGACAGAGTGGGTCAGTGACATTCAGGACCACCTTCAAGGTGGCAACACATTAGAAGTTAAATACCTGGGAATCCTCATCAGCCTTTAGAACTGAAGAAGCCTTTTCAATGAGAGCTGAAATGTCTCCCAAGACCCTACAAGAACAAGTCCACTTGCCTTCAAAGGAAGCTTTTAAGACTTGATTATAAGCTATTTATAATCAGAACTCTGTCAACAACATAGTATCACACTGTGATTGTTACTTTAAGTCCATTTGAGTATCTACAATTGGCTATGAACTATTAGAATTTTGTGTTTTAGTTCTAAGTGTGATCTTGACTTTGTGTGTGTGTCTACGAGAGGTTATATTTACAGACCTGTGTGCTTTCTTATGTCAGCCATGGCGGAAGAACGTCGGCAGAAGCACTGTTCGGTCGTCCTGCCTACAGAGTCAATGAAGGCCATGGCAGAGTCTGTGGGAGTGGGGCAGTTACAGGAGGACAGCTGTGTAGCCCTAAGTGAAGAGGTCAGCTACAGAATAAAAGAAATTGCACAGGTAAAGTATGAATTATCAGAGAAAATATTGCCTTTTATTTATGTGGAAGAAAAATGCTCAAAAAACAGTTACTGGAAAATCCAGATTTATATTTAAATCCTCTTTGGTGGGTTTTTTTTCTCCTTTTACATAGGATGCTTTGAAATTTATGCACCATGGGAAGAGACGTAAATTAACCACCAGCGATATAGACAATGCTCTCAAATTAAAAAATGTGGAAGTAAGTGAGAACTTGTGTGTTTTTAAATTAAGTACTTTTTGCTGGCTTATTAAGTGATTTGATGGATGCAGTTTGAAGGCAAGCAAGTCTCAATTAATTCCTTTCGGTACAGCCCCTGTATGGCTTCCAGTCGCAAGAGTTTATCCCTTTTCGTTTTGCGAGTGGCGGTGGAAGAGAGCTTCATTTCTACGAGGAAAAGGAAGTTGACCTCAGTGACATTATAAACACGCCTCTTCCCAGAGTCCCACTAGATGTGTCTCTTAAAGGTATTCAGAGAGTCAATTTTTTTTTGTATATTTTTGTCCAATAGTATATTTAACTTGTACTCTGTGCTTGTTTGTTCATCACCAGCTCACTGGTTAAGTATTGAGGGGATGCAACCAGCTATTCCAGAAAATCCACCACCAGGTTAGCTCTGACCAGATTTTTTTCTATTAAAGTACAAAGTTAAATATCTGGAGAAGAAATGTAGACACATTAGATATGTCTTGTTTCCTTTTTAGCAACAAAAGAGCAACAGAAAGTTGAATCTACAGAGCCTCTCAAAGTAGTCAAACCTGGTCAGGAGGAGGAAGGTACGATTCAAGGCAAGGGTCAGGGCACAACAACTCCTGACGGTAAAGGTCAGTGTCTTGTTTTCTATTTAACTTTCTAATTTTTCTCTTACATTTCCCTGCTTTAGTTCATTTCAGTTTTGCCTTCACAATGCTTGTTGATAATGTTTATCTGTATCCGTCTTGTTCAGGAAAGGAAAAGGGTCTAATAAGGTTGAAACCACGCAGCACTCATGAGCTTTCTGTTGAACAGCAGCTCTACTACAAGGAAATCACAGAAGCATGTGTTGGATCCTGTGAAGCTAAGAGAGCTGTAAGTTCTGCCTCTACTTTATATTAGTATTTTGTATTATTGAATATTTTAGTAATGGTTTTGTTTTATTAATGAAAACTACAAATGTATTATACAATAAATTGTATAATATAACTTAAACTTGGGCATAAAACAAAATGCCCTTCACTGTTTTTTCTTGGAAGGCCAAAAAAAAGAGTTCTGTCTGAGTTTAAGTGAGTTTAAAGGAGTATGTGGCGATTGCAAAGAAGAAAAGCGAACATATCCACATTCTCTGCTGTCAGCTTTCAGCAAACTGCCTAATTCTTCATGCCAGACTAAGTTAACAGGTCATCTGCACACATTCGAGTTTATTTACAATTCGCTGTCCAAAACTGACAGCGGTGGATGGAGCAGCTACAGAGCTCTCTTTTCTTCATGTTGGAGCTTGTTGATCAGGTGGTTTGATGAAGGACTAAAGCTAACTTTTCCCAGTGAAGCTTTTAATGGTAAACACAGAAACATGTGCTGCTGTTTTGGATGCCTAGAAAATCTAATGGCGCAGCCTCTGTGCACTTTGTGTGTGTGTGCGTGTGTGTGTGTGTACAGACTGTGGCCCCACATTAAACTACTAACATGGTGATAGTTGAGTCCTACAGAGTCATGGATTTCTAAAAGCATTAAAACAAAAAAATG